CGTGCGGAGCCCGTTAGGCGAGCGATTGACCAAGCAACCGGTACTGTTCAGTGCACAAAGCCCGTTAGGGGAACGAATGACTGAGCAACCGGTACTGTCCAGGGTACGGGACCCGTTAGGTGAACGGGTGACCAAGCAGCCGATACTGTCCAGCCGACTCCAACGCAAATAGCCCGTTAGGCAAACGAGCTAGCCGGTGACCGAGCTAGCGGGTGCACAGAGGCCGTTAGGAGAACGACTGATTGAGCTACCGGTACTGTCCAGTGCACAAAGCCGTTAGGAGAACGATTGATTGAGCTACGTGTACTGTCCAGTGTACGGGACCCGTTAGGTGAGCGGGTGACCGAGCTACCGGTACTGTCCAGTTTACGGAGACCGTTAGGTGAATGGGGGACCAAGCAGGCACTTCTGTCCATTGCACAGATTCGTCACTTGAACCAGTGACGGAGCTTCCACTACCCAGATTGATCAGGTTAAAGTTCACAGAATCATGAATTCATTTATGTGAGAATTTATGGTGATTTGAGAGAATCATGAACTAATTAAAGAAATCATACTCGTATAAAAATCAAATCCGGGTTTTTATATGAGATCCGTTTTTTGCGCTATTGCGATGCACCGGTTAATAATAGGCGATTATGCTTCGACGAGATATGTTATTTTAATAAATATTCATTGAGAACTAAATAAAGTGGCCGTTGAGCACAAGAAACGCGGAGGCGAAGCCGAGGCTGTTTCTAGATCTTTATTACCACGAATACTAGAGTAAACATAATATAATATGTAATAACCATCAGACCGTAAACTGCTCAACAATAATTCGTGTCTACTCTGTACACGTGAGTGAACTCAGCAGTCGTCATCCTTAAATAATGCTTTTTAAGGTTAACTGTGGTCTGAAGCCGGTTAGTCAAATTTGTACTGTAGCCAGCCAGCGGACCAAGGCCGTTCCGCATTGCCGTATTTCCGCTTATGATTTACCTGAAATCACAATTCATGTCCGTTGCCGAACGAAATAACTGACGGCCGGGCTTTCCGCACGGATAAGCGAGTATTATTATCAACAATAAGCGCGGTAGACAATTCGCGGCAAGCCAGGTTCACGAAGATTTTTAATGCACATCATCCCGATAGAACTAGACTATACAAATGACTCGCCCAAGGCGAAAACGTTGATAAAGCTATCGGGAAAAGATCAGAGCACCGGGCGCGAGATTAGGAAGTTTACTTTAATTGATACACGCCTGTGGCGCTTACAAAAGCATTTGGCTCTTGTACTTTTGTAAAAACATTTAATCCCCAGATTAAGTTCGCTTACAAATTTTTGATTTCTACCAGCGCAAGCGTGGTTTAGCTTAAACTATGCACGTATTGTGTAGACTTTGCCCGGAAACCGACGGAATTATGGCCAAGCGCCGTCTGTTGTGCGCCGGCATTCCGACAGCTGCCCTGCTATTTATTTTGGCTTTGGCGAGTTATATGGGTGTCATATTTACCGCATCATCTACCATCGCGCAGCCGATTGCCCGGTCACCATATTCGGAATCATACCCTGTGCCTACAGCACCGAGTACAACCAGTGCCAGTGCGACGAAAGGTCAGGAACCCGTGGGGACGAAGTCAGCTGCAACAATACCTCCCACCATACTGCCGCTGACGTCAGCCATGCCGATGTTTACCGCAACGGAGGGTCCAGCGACCACTGCCAACGCGAATGCGGTCACGAAGGGTCAGGAACCCGTGGGGACGCCGTCAGCTGCAACAATACCGCCCACCATACTGCCGCTGACGTCAGACATGCCGATATTTACCACGACGGAGGGTCCAGCGACCACCGCCAACGCGAATGCGGTCACGAAGGGTCAGGAACCCGTGGGGCGCCGTCAGCTGCAACAATACCGCCCACCATACTGCCGCTGACGTCAGCCATGCCGATATTTACCACGACGGAGGGTCCAGCGACCACCGCCAACGCGAATGCGGTCACGAAGGGTCAGGAACCCGTGGGGACGCCGTCAGCTGCAACAATACCGCCCACCATACTGCCGCTGACGTCAGCCATGCCGATATTTACCACGACGGAGGGTCCAGCGACCACCGCCAACGCGAATGCGGTCACGAAGGGTCAGGAACCCGTGGCTCGCCGTCAGCTGCAACAATACCGCCCACCATACTGCCGCTGACGTCAGCCATGCCTATGTTTACCGCGACGGAGGGTCCAGCGACCACTGCCATCGCGAATGCGGTCACCAAGGAGCCCATCAAATCGCCGCCACATTCAACGTTTCGTGACACTTCACCCCTGCCCACGTCTGTCGTAACACAATTTTCCCGCCGTTCGACCAAACGTAGTAAAGATGATGGTGAGTTTGGCTAATCTAACTAAATACTAGATGTAGGTTATACTCTGTCTCGGAGTTTTAATTGTTATTATCTAGGTGACCTCCCATATTCTCGGCATTGATCCGACAGTCTTAGCCATGGATGATGGCTGATCGCTTTTATTACGCTTGTATCGCCTATGCGAACTACAGTGCAGTGCAAAATTGTTTTAAATCGAGTGTTGCTCGAAGCGGTTGATTGTCTCAAACGCGGAGGACCACTGCGCCCTGTTCTGTTGACACAGATGGCGCCGGAAACCAGATGTTGAACATGGAGTCGCGCAGCAGTGCGCACTGGAACCCGCTCAATTCGTGAATTTGGATCTCCGTCCTGCCAAGAATTAATGTTATGAACAGAACTATAACATTTTTATGCCATTGATAGCAACAATGTGCGAATGAACCCTCGCATTTTGGAAACAAATAACGGATGCAGGTTTTGCCAAGTATGTCTGTAACGTGTAATTGTCTATGAAGGCAATGGTGAAATACATTACTATGTGATAACCTTTGCAAAAAAAATTCGGTGAGAAACCTACAGACAATATAGAAATGTTTAAGACTAAGCTTGACCAAAATTGACCACGCGTTGACGAATTCTTAAAAACGGCGCGTAATTACGTTTTGAGCGGCAAGCTTGTATGAATACTTCTGAATTTTTTATATAGACACACCGTCCTGGTTTCTGTTCTCGGTACATTAGCTCCGTTTAGCGACATGGTTGAGAAAGAAGATGCGGATTTCGATTTTAATAATACTCAGTTGAACGAACGATGTTATGAGTTTTTGCTTACATATTCTTTTATACCGGTACATGTCTTGTTGTAAAACAATAACGTTCCAGTTAATTAGGCATTACCGTGCAAGTACATAATATTTTATTGCTGCTCCTACAGAGTCTGTAGAGTGCATTCGACAGAAAATGCTTTCAATCAATAGTGTGCTCCGTTGGATATGCGGGGCACACCGATGACAGAGACAATTTCGCTTTATTAGAAAATGACATTCAACTTGAAAACTGCACACGTAATGCACGATACGATAGGAGTCCGGCGAGCATACTCCACACCAACCAGAGACGTTGCACTCGGTGATTGTGCGTCGCCAGGGAATGTTGTTTGCTGCTGCCATCGGGATTACAGTCCTCGCTGTCCGGGTGTCGGCCACATTCGTCCAGCGCGTCGGGACGGGTGGCATTGGCCGTCGGCTCAATCATCTTAACCGTCAGCGTCGGGGCGCTGATATTAGGATGGTCGTGCATGTCCACGATAAGGATGTCCGGATCCTTCCCGGGCGGCGGGGGTCCCATGCTGCCCACGCTCGTCAGGTCCAGGTTGCACTGGTTGCGCCGGCATAGGCAGCGCACTCGGAACTGATCGACATGGCTTTCGCGCACCTTATACTCCACCTCACTGCACAGGAAATCCTGCCCGGCGAAGCCCTGCGGACCGACCTGCAGGGTGATGCGCTCGATGCGACGGGCCGCGTCCGTCTGCGGGAAGACCGGATAGTAGGTGGACTGGTTGGCCGGCGCGCCGCTACCCGGGCGGTAACAATTACCGAAACGGCCACGCCCTACAATGGTGCCGTTGAGGTAGGGCGCCAGGAACATGTCGGCCCAGAACATTCACACATCCGCACTGTCCGGGCACGTCCGCAGGGTGACATCCGCGACGCCGGGCAGCGGCTGGGCACGCTGGCACGTGTGGTTCTCGTGCATGGCCCACATGTCGTTGAGCCGGGCCGTGGGCATACTGCCGGTACAGGTCCAGCCGCAGTGGCACTCCTGGATGCCCACCATACACTGCAGACACTGTACGGCCTGACGACGCCAGACCACGCCCAGGAGCACGCACGTGGCTACGGTCCGCAGCAGGCGTGGGGACACGGCAGCCGGCGAGGGATGGCACACCGCGGGCACAAATTACCAGGGGAGGCGCACTCACAGTGGGCGACGTTCCTGTGCAACAGTAAGACAGTCAGTATCTCTTTCCCATCATATCTAGGTATATTGTAAGTTTGTAACGCAGGCTGTTATGCCGGCGTTCTAGTGGGTTGCTTGTTGACCGTACCACGATGTTGTGTGGGCTGTTGATGGAAAGGTCGGCACTGCCGGCCGTGAGCTCAGCAGTGAATCGCAGGTGGGTTTACAGTGACAAAGACGAGTGGTATGATGCGTGCATCATTCCGAGGAGTCAACCAAAGCAACGTCGTTTACAAGTATTTAATCAGCAAGTGTACAAGCAGGACAAGCGGGTTACAAGCCAAAACAAGCGGGACAAGCATCCATTCAAGTCTTTCTCGAATCAAAAGTGTGTTCCATTCTGTTAGACATTTAACCGATAAAAGTGCAGAGAAAAAAGGATGAATCACACCGTTACGCGGTGAGAACAACAACCATTGAACAGTAAAGGAAACCAGCAACATTGTGAACAAGGCGGTCATTCGATTATTCTCGTTACAATATTTTGGAAAGTCCTTGAAACAAATTTTCTCCGTCAGAAATCACCGAAAGCTGTTTTCCTATCATTTGATTTTTCCGTTGCATACAAGTAGTTTAAACCCCATTTTAACCAAACGCGAACGTGCGATCGCGAAGTTAGTATAAGGGTCTTATGGAGAAAATCTGTACAATACGAAATTGTTATATTGTTGTCACGTCTTGGCACAGATGTTTATTATGCCACTCTGGCCGGATAGATACTGAATAATGAAATACTCATAGTACCACATAAAATGCATCCTCTACAGGTCAACACAGCCATGCGGGTTGCTACGCGCTAATATGGCGCGTAGCCACTACACTACAATTGTGGAAGAGGGGAATTTTACAACTTAATTTGGCGAATTTCACAACTTAACATTACACCCACAACTGTACGAACAGTTGTGGGCGTAACCCCAGGCAGGCTGCCAGCAGTCCGGGAATGGCGCCAAAAAGTCCGTAATGTGGCTGTGCGTATATAATTATACAGTATTAATATTATAAGATCTAAGAAGCCGGGACAGATGCGTTGTGCTCGCATCCATGTGTAACCTTTGAGCCCTTTATGCAGGATTTCCTGTGGGGGGCATGGATCTGTCGACTGCAGCGAAGCTGAAATTTGGAAAGACCACGCTACCACACTAGCTAGGGTAGTCTGTTGAAAATAGGGGGAAGCGGATATGAGTTGTTTGGCTGTTCTAAAGAAGTATCCATAAAATTCTGTGCAGCGTTGCGGTTGTGTGTTTGTGTACGCAACTCACCCGAGTAGTGTAGTGGCTGCCTTTAGTGTTTGTTTGCTCAGTGAATAAAAATAAACTAGACAAATCAACGGAATGTTTTCCCAGCCACCCGCCGTTACGGGCACACAGGGTTAAGACAACGGACGTCCTGCCACTAATTAAGGCGCAAATGTTGCTGTGTTAATTCGATTTCCGTCCAACGCGTCTCCCCTCGGTATCTTCAACCATTTCTAAATTAGAGAAATGCCATCAACACCTGTGCACAAAAGGAAGAATGCGACGCATACCGTGTATTTTTCGTCAATTAGCAATCCCGCATTGCTGGTTCCATAACGGTTATGGATGGGGTCTACGTTTCGGGGGGAAAAACCCTCTTAAGTGAATATTGCCACAACGACCCTTCAATGCCAGCCATATTGCAATGTGGGCTGCGGAAGCGGAGAGGGCTCCCTGATCGATAAAATGCGGTACGCGTGGAAGTTGTTAAGATCACGAAGAACTAGCACTCATCGCTTGATGACAGTGGGATGCAGGAAGATACTCGTAAGTCGTACCAATTACAGGCCATGCAGCGAACTGCGCCGACTTACTACAGAATGCAGCGATCGATAATACATGTAGTATGGCGGATTATCCTTCAGATACGCAGTATACGTATGCATGTACTTTCCAGAGAAGTACCTAAAAGTTTGTCGCCGCGTTAAACAGGAGCGGAAGAGTGGGCGTATAGGTCGTCGGAAATGGCCTCCTCTAGGGAAGTATATCTGTATCCCAAAGTTGAAGGAAGTTGTTCATTTTTCGCCGTCGATTGCCTGCATCATGCAGGCATGGGTTCGGGTCGCCGGATAGAATGCAGTAATCCAAGGACAAACATAATTTATATCCAGTTTTGTTCTACTGCACTGGCGAGTCCGCCAAATTACAGGAATCTGTTGTGATAGTGCAAATATGCAGAATTCTATCAGCAGCAAATCAGATCTTGAGTATGTCCATGCTTAATACATGAGTAGTACCAACAATACTCGCATAAGCAGCGTTAAGTATTTCCCACAGGACAGCAGTTTAGTCAGTGCGGATACTGGTGTGCCGTAATATTTTGTCGTGGCAATTTATTGGTTCGATTACTTAATGCAGAATGATACTTGTCACGTACGGTACTACTGTAACGGAAATAATACTTAATTACAGGGGAAATTAATGTTGTTCAACCCAGAAAAAATCCGGTCGCTCGGGTCACCAGGTGACAGCCGGACAGAGCTGCTACGAGCACGTGCGAATAACACCGATGTTGCATGCGTACAAAGTATTGTACATACGGTACAACGTACTGTACCCAGTAAAGAAGAAAAGCACTGTAAAAATTAGTATTTAATCCAACTACACACAAATACTTACATTCATCTGGAAAAAAATCAGTACCGGCCACATGTATGTGTTAAACTCTAGCACTTTCAAGCCAGCTTCGGGTGGACCATTGCATGGACAACGCCAGTGTGCCGGCAGGTTTCAACGTCTTCCTGGTTGTCTCGTTTGTGCATTCATTAAATTATTATCATTATCGAGATCAGATAGTAAGGTCACGGTATCGAGCTTAAAACTAAACATATGCTTTATTAAAACTTCATGCAACATTTTAATTAAAAAACGAATTCATCATTGTTATTATACCGTTCAATAAACTGAATTATGTTATGCAGAAACCAGTCACCGAAAACTGTTCTTACAATTTTTTAAACGGTACTGAGAAAATTATTATTGCCGCATTCATTAAAAAAGTAGTAATAAGAATTTAAATTTCAACGATCATTAAATATTTATTGTATATAAAAATATAGAAAAATTGGTCAGTCTATATAAATTACTACTAAAAAGAAATGATCATATATAACAGTAACATGCAAAGTACAATTAGTAAATTATGTAATAATTATTAGTAAAATGAAATGTTAATAAAGAAATAAGGTCAAAGCTATGCGCAGGAGTTTTTCATTTTAACAGAAATTTTGTACGTCAAGGATTTGTACAAAAATTATTGAAAATATTGTACATATCAAACCAACTCGTATTCAAAACGCTTCACCATACGTATTTGTACTCAACTTGTTCCACTTGTAATATACTTCCTACACGCCGTGAATCCGTGAATCGTTGAAAACTCAGTACTTTATGCAAAGTATTGCCAATACTTTACACTTCCCGCACCCCGTGAATCCGTGAATCGGTGAAAAGTAGTACTTTACGTAAAGTTAGTACTTTGTGTAAAGTACTGCCAATACTTTATACTTCCCGCATGCCGTGAATCCGTGAATCGGTGAAAAGTCAGTACTTTACATAAACTCAGTACTTTATGTAAAATACTGCCAATACTTTATACCTCCCGCATGCCGTGAATCCGTGAATCGGTGAAAAGTCAGTACTTTACATAAACTCAGTACTTTATGTAAAATACTGCCAATACTTTATACCTCCCGCATGCCGTGAATCCGTGAATCGGTGAAAAGTCAGCACTTTACATAAACTCAGTACTTTATGTAAAATACTGCCAATACTTTATACCTCCCGCACGCCGTGAATCCGTGAATCGGTGAAAAGTCAGTACTTTACATAAACTCAGTACTTTATGCAAAGTACTGCCAATACTTTATACCTCCCGCACGCCGTGAATCCGTGAATCGGTGAAAACTCGGTACTCTCAGTACAGGTTGGTCAGTACTTTACGTAAAGTACTGCCAGTACTTTATTCTTCCCGCACCCCGTGAATCCGTGAATCGGTGAATAGTCAGTACTTTATGTAAAGTACTGCCAATACTTTATACCTCCCGCATGCCGTGAATCCGTGAATCGGTGAAAACTCAGTACTTTCAGTACTCTCAGTACTCTCAGTTGGTCAGTACTTTACGTAAAGTACTGCCAGTACATTATTCTTCCCGCACCCCGTGAATCCGTGAATCGGTGAAAAGTCAGTACTTTACATAACCTCAGTACTTTATGCAAAGTACTGCCAATACTTTATACCTCCCGCACGCCGTGAATCCGTGAATCGGTGAAAACTCAGTACTCTCAGTACAGGTTGGTCAGTACTTTACGTAAAGTACTGCCAGTACTTTATTCTTCCCGCACCCCGTGAATCCGTGAATCGGTGAAAGTCAGCACTTTACATAAACTCAGTACTTTATGTAAAATACTGCCAATACTTTATACCTCCCGCATGCCGTGAATCCGTGAATCGGTGAAAAGTCAGTACTTTACATAAACTCAGTACTTTATGTAAAATACTGCCAATACTTTATACCTCCCGCATGCCGTGAATCCGTGAATCGGTGAAAAGTCAGCACTTTACATAAACTCAGTACTTTATGTAAAATACTGCCAATACTTTATACCTCCCGCATGCCGTGAATCCGTGAATCGGTGAAAAGTCAGCACTTTACATAAACTCAGTACTTTATGTAAAATACTGCCAATACTTTATACCTCCCGCATGCCGTGAATCCGTGAATCGGTGAAAAGTCAGCACTTTACATAAACTCAGTACTTTATGTAAAATACTGCCAATACTTTATACCTCCCGCATGCCGTGAATCCGTGAATCGGTGAAAAGTCAGTACTTTACATAAACTCAGTACTTTATGTAAAATACTGCCAATACTTTATACCTCCCGCATGCCGTGAATCCGTGAATCGGTGAAAAGTCAGCACTTTACATAAACTCAGTACTTTATGTAAAATACTTTATACCTCCCGCATGCCGTGAATCCGTGAATCGGTGAAAAGTCAGCACTTTACATAAACTCAGTACTTTATGTAAAATACTGCCAATACTTTATACCTCCCGCATGCCGTGAATCCGTGAATCGGTGAAAAGTCAGCACTTTACATAATCTCAGTACTTTATGTAAAATACTGCCAATACTTTATACCTCCCGCATGCCGTGAATCCGTGAATCGGTGAAAAGTCAGTACTTTACATAAACTCAGTACTTTATGTAAAATACTGCCAATACTTTATACCTCCCGCATGCCGTGAATCCGTGAATCGGTGAAAAGTCAGCACTTTACATAAACTCAGTACTTTATGTAAAATACTGCCAATACTTTATACCTCCCGCATGCCGTGAATCCGTGAATCGGTGAAAAGTCAGTACTTTACATAAACTCAGTACTTTATGTAAAATACTGCCAATACTTTATACCTCCCGCATGCCGTGAATCCGTGAATCGGTGAAAAGTCAGCACTTTACATAAACTCAGTACTTTATGTAAAATACTGCCAATACTTTATACCTCCCGCATGCCGTGAATCCGTGAATCGGTGAAAAGTCAGTACTTTACATAAACTCAGTACTTTATGTAAAATACTGCTAATACTTTTTACCTCCCGCATGCCGTGAATCCGTGAATCGGTGAAAACTCAGTACTTTCAGTACTCTCAGTACTCTCAGTTGGTCAGTACTTTACGTAAAGTACTGCCAGTACATTATTCTTCCCGCACCCCGTGAATCCGTGAATCGGTGAAAAGTCAGTACTTTATGCAAAGTACTGCAAAGTACTGCCAGCACTTTGAACTTCCCGCACCCGTGAATCTGTGAATCGGTGAAAAATCAGTGATTTATGCAAATTACATACTCTCAGTACAGATTGGTCAGTACTTTATGTCGCAATAAACTTCATACGACGGCACAAAAAACTTTGCGCTAAATACAGAGTGCGTGCTATCTATAATTTTAGATGGAAATTGTAGATAGCATGATGGATTTTAGATGGAAATTATGGATTTTTATTTAATCAAATTTAATTTATTAATGGAAATTATTGTTTTCATATTTAAGTTCGTAGCATCAATTAGGCTGACCGCGTGCAAACACTGAATAACAAAACATCTATAACGATACCAATACTGCAGCATTTTTATCAATCGAAAGCTAATATCGAAGTAGCGAAAGTAATATTGGTGCTATAGACTTATTCATAATTATAATATTATTAGCAGTGCTAGTTAAACATACGCAGTGCCAGCAGCACTTCACACCGTGCCGTATTATTGAATATTGACGACAAGCAGTTTCGGGCCAGAAGGAAATTTGGAAACTGCTTGTATAAAACATTACGAGATTATTTCTGCAGAAACAATGGCTGTTTGTGTGGTTGTGTTTGTGTTACTTTTGTAACAAGCTTCAAAATCGTGTTTTGACTACAGACCAGGTCCAACAATCTGCTTTGGTGCCGGTTCGACGCAGTTGTTTATTGTACGTGCATTTAAACTTCGTTGTTGTTTCACAAAAACCGGCGCCTAATATTTATATGTATACACCATTGCATTCACAGTGTACATAAACGGCGAAAATTTCATGATACACATGATACATGATTAATCATGATACACAAACTAATGAATTCAAGCGGTAGAGTAACATTCTGCTGAGCGGCGTGCGACAGTGCTAAAACGGAAAACCTGCTGCACTGACACGATTTAATACCGCGCCTTTATACCGGGCTGTGAGTGCGGCGCAATTTTTGAATGCCGAACTATTTCGGCAGCTGTCGTTACCGATGAGTATGAATATGGACTTGATCAAGTTGGATAGGATCATAGTGGGACAGATTACGTGGAGATAAATTCGTTTTGGTCTGTATATGCATTCGCAGTATTCGCCTATTGTGCCAATATGCGTAAGTAGGACTGTAATAGATAGCTTACGAGGGAGATACCCGAACACGTCCGCGTCAGATTAGCATACACTTGGTACCATTAGAATCCTTAGAATTTCAGCTATTTTCTTTGATAATCAAAATAGCCCCAGATAAAGAACTCGAGTTTAGGGATCCCTGAAAAGCCAGCACAGATATGATGGCTGATTTCCATCGAAACGTCAGCAGACGCCATACAGAGCTATACGGCGCGCCTGTACGGATGCGAGATTTCGCAACCGTCTTTCAGCGAGAAGTTAATAGCGCTTTATCGATAGCTATCGCAGTATCTCCCTCGTTAATTTGTATTGGCACCTCCTGTTGGTCTTAATTATTTTTGGCACTTCACAGTTCTCACCTTAAAGTTAAGAACGTGTAAATACGTTAGACGTGTGGGGGATATACTGTAAAACGGGCACCATAGCAATAGTAATGATTGGCGTATTACGGTAGTAGTA